GGTTTTACTAATCCTTCGTCCGGACCTGGGTTCATTCCTGCTCCACAACGCTACAGTCTAGGCTTTGTGGGCAGGTGATCCATATGAAAGTAATTTTTAAAGCATTGTGCTCTTAATAATGATCATTAGTGATGGGTCGATGAGGCATCATGTGTCGTTTCGACAAATTACCAAACTGTACGATATGTGTCAATACTGTGTCACTGAATACTGACATCTGCTGGACCTTAAAAATCCCTACAGGCAACCTATTTGTCAAACTCAAATGACACTGATTTGATGACCTATACAATAATATAATTAAAAAAATAAAAATAATATAATTTAAGCCATTGTGTTTTATATTGTATTATTTCATACCTTAATTTACATTTAAAATATCTTTGACATTTTTAGATACAGTCTATAAATAATGTGAACATGAAGCTGTATGGATTATCCATAATTTACACGGATTTGCTGCCTCATTTTGCAGGTATATGGACCTATACAACAATCACACGGATTGTTTTCAACTTTTAGATTTTCAAAAACTCAGTTTCATATTTAGGCTAAAATTACAATATAAATATAAAAAATAACATCAAACAACCAATCCTTCAACCCACTCTGCTGCTAGAAATAAGTTCTCTACTCCTCCTGTTTCTTTCTGCTTTGCACTGCAGACGCTCCGCGGCCAACAACTGACCCCCACCCCAATACTGATTTTTGAGTCTACAAAATGTCTGAAGGGATTGACATGTATGGATATGAGATCAAAAAGGTGGAAACCTTTATTTTGGCTTGAGGTTACTTCCRAATTCTTGATGATGAACCGCAAAAGATCAGAGATTCTTTTGACAGATGCATACACTTCCTTATWAACACAATCTGTCAGTCTGAAACAGTTGCTGTATCGGTCACGTMATGTTTTTAGTGATACACGCACCYACACAGGGTTTCATTCTATGAGCTTGARGCATGCGTCAACGCATCGGTGTTGCTCGACCCATCACTAATGATCATAAACAAACACCCGTCTTTAAAATTTGTTTTTAAAGTTTTTGACATTAGAATAGAATTGTGACAGGACAATTTTAAGATAAATATTAAAAACAAGTAATTTGGAAATTGTACAAATTAAGTGTAGAGGTTCATGGTTGCTTTTAATATATTTTACTGTAAAATACGTCACTAATGTCACACTTGGATAACAAACTGCTATTTTTTGTGTATGGTGCTGAATTACCAAGCCTTTGACATCTCTGAAGCGAGGAAATTCAGTCAAGACATCAGATGATCTTTCTTCATCCAGGACCATCTTGCGACGATAATCAAATGTCATCTTCATCTTGTTCTTGATAGTGGCCTCGTCAGAAGAATATTTCATGAAGGAAATGGCTTCCTTACATTGCTCTTCGCTTAGAGTCACTTCAGGGTTGAATGAAGCTTCTCTTCTGTCTGTTGGTCCACCCCCAGTCAGCTGAGTTGATGATCTTCTCCCCTCTGATGAGGTGCTACTCCTCTGGATGGTTTTAAGCCTCCACGCTAAGTAACCACTGCCACTTTCCCCATCATAGAAGTGTTCCTTTAAATTATAACAGGTCAATTTAGTTTGAGAACAACAGCATTTGTATCAAAGGACAGTTACAAAAACAATTTGTTTGGTCTAAAATACTTGGATGCATGTTTTGATAATACTAATACAATTTTGGAAATACTAATATCATAAATGATTTACCCAGTGATTTCCAAAGTTTCACTCTTTTCCTTGAGTGTCTATTCTTGTTTTAAAATGAAATTGACAATTACTTGTTATTTTTTTATTATTATTAATTGTCCTCTTTATTTTATGGTATGATTTTTGCTTT